GTTACTTTGCTCACACTCCAACAGCACGTCAAGTATTAAAAACCATTTGTCTCCATTCACTCCTATCAAACACGCTCACGCACGCCTGCTGGAAGTTCAAGCCCCTCGCACACAAAACCTCCTTTACCCCCTCCCTCCAACCTTTCCTAGGCCGACCCCTACCCCGCCTTCCTTCCACTACAGACTGATACACTCTTGAAGTCACTCTGTTTTGCTCCATTCTCTCTACATGTCCGAACCACCTCAACAACCCTTCCTCAGCCCTCTGGAGCAACAGTTTTGGTAATCCCGCACCTCCTCCTAACTTCCAAACAACGAATTCTCTGCATTATATTCACACCACACATTGCCCTCAGACATGACATCTCCACTGCCTCCAGCCTTCTCCTAGCTGCAACATTCATCACCCATGCTTCACACCCATACAAGAGCATTGGTAAAACTATACTCTCATACATTCCCCTCTTTGCCTCCAAGGACAAAGTTCTTTGTCCCCACAGACTCCTAAGTGCACCACTCAGCCTTTTCCCCTCATCAATTCTGATTCGCCTCATCTTTCATAGACCCATCCGCTGACACGTCCACTCCCAAATATCTGAATACATTCACCTCCTCCATGCTCTCTCCCTCCAATCTGATATCCAATCTTTCATCACCTAATCTTTTTATCCTCATAACCTTACTCTTTCCTGTATTCACTTTTAATTTTCTTCTTTTGCACACCCTACCAAATTCATCCACCAATCTCTGCACCTTCTCTTCAGAATCTCCCAAGAGCACAGTGTTATCAGCAAAGAGCAACTGTGACAACTCCCACTTTATGTGTGATTCTTTATCTTTTAACTCCACGCCTCTTGCCAAGACCCTCGCATTTACTTCTCTTACAACCCCATCTATAAATATATTAAACAACCATGGTGACATCACACATCCTTGTCTAAGGCCTACTTTTACTGGGAAATAATTTCCCTCTTTCCTACATACTCTAACTTGAGCCTCACTATCCTCGTAAAAACTCTTCACTGCTTTCAGTAACCTACCTCCTACACCATACACCTGCAACATCTGCCATTTTGCCCCCCTATCCACCCTGTCATATGCCTTCTCCAAATCCATAAATGCCACAAAGACCTCTTTAGCCTCATCTAAATACTGTTCACTTATATGTTTCACTGTAAACACCTGGTCCACACACCCTCTACCTTTCCTAAAGCCTCCTTGTTCATCTGCTATCCTATTCTCCGTCTTACTCTTAATTCTTTCAATAATAACTACCATACACTTTACCAGGTATACTCAACAGACTTATCCCCCTATAATTTTTGCACTCTTTTGTCCCCTTTGCCTTTATACAAAGGAACTATGCATGCTCTCTGCCAATCCTTAGGTACCTTACCCTCTTCCATACATTATATATATATATATATATATATATATATATATATATATATATATATATATATAAAATATATATATATATATATTATATTTATTTTTTTTTTTTTATTATCACACCGGCCGATTCCCACCAAGGCAGGGTGGCCCGAAAAAGAAAAACTTTCACCATCATTCACTCCATCACTGTCTTGCCAGAAGGGTGCTTTACACTACAGTTTTTAAACTGCAACATTAACACCCCTCCTTCAGAGTGCAGGCACTGTACTTCCCATCTCCAGAACTCAAGTCCGGCCTGCCGGTTATATATATATATATATATATTATACATACATACACATACATATATACATATACACGTACACACACATACACATGTACATGTACACATACACGTACACGTACACATACACATACACGTACACACGTACACGTACACATGTACACATACACGTACACATACATGTACACATACACATACACGTACACACGTACACATACACATACATACACGTACACATATACATGTACCATATATACATGTACACATATATACATGTACACATATATACATGTACACATATATACATGTACACATATATACATGTACACATATATACATGTACACATATATACATGTACACATATACATGTACACATATACATGTACACATATACATGTACACATATACATGTACACATATACATGTACACATATACATGTACACATACACATGTACACATACATGTACACACATGTACACATACATGTACACATACACATGTACATATACATGTACACATATACATGTACACATATACATGTACACATCTACATGTACACATCTACATGTACACATCTACATGTACACATCTACATGTACACATCTACATGTACACATCTACATGTACACATCTACATGTACACATCTACATGTACACACATACATGTACACATATACATGTACACACATACATGTACACACATACATGTACACACATACATGTACACACATACATGTACACATACATGTACACATATACATGTACACATATACATGTACACATATACATGTACACATATACATGTACACATATACATGTACACATATACATGTACACACATACATGTACACATACATGTACACATACATGTACACATACATGTACACATACATGTACACATATACATGTACACATACATGTACACATATACATGTACACATACATGTACACATACATGTACACATATACATGTATGCATACATGTACACATATACATGTATGCATACATGTACACATATATACATGTATGCATACATGTACACATATATACATGTACACATATATACATGTACACATATATACATGTACACATATATACATGTACACATATATACATGTACACATATATACATGTACACATATATACATGTACACATATATACATGTACACATATACATGCACACATACATATATACATGTACACATATACATGTACACATATACATGTACACATATACTGTGGAAACTTATTTGGTCTCTAAAGTTCCACAGGACAGATCCGGCATGGCCGTAATGGAACGGCTGAGCTGGGTGGCCCTTATACCCCACCCAAAACAAAGCATTCTCTCGAGTTAGCGTGGATTGTTGGTAAGCTTATTTAATTTATAGATTTACCCTTCAGGGAAGGAGTAGGTAGTTTTACTGTTAGTACACATATATACATATATGTATATATGTGTACATGTATATATGTGTACATTTATATATGTGTACATGTATATATGTGTATATGTATGTGTACATGTATATATGTGTACATGTATATATGTGTACAAGTATATATGTATATGTGTGTACATGTATATATACATGTACACATATACATGCAATAAAATCACAGTAAACAGGTGATTTCAGAATATGCAAAACAACCACTCTGAAAGAATAGAGAAATTCCAAGCGCTTTCGTGACTACTCACATAATGTGAGTAGTCACGAAAGTGCTTGGAATTTCTCTATTCTTTCAGAGTGGTTGTTTTGCACATATATACATGTACACATATATACATGTACACATATATACACATACACATATACACGTACAATATACACATACACATATATACACACGTGTACATGTATGTACATGTATATGTGTACATGTATATATGTATGTGTACATGTATATATACATGTACACATATATACATGCAATAAGATCACAGTAAACAGGCGATTTCAGAATATGCACACGTACACATATATACATGTACACATACATGTACATGTGTACACATGTATACATGTACACATATATGTACACATGTATACATGGACACATACATGTACACATGTATACATGTACACATGTATACATGTACACATGTATACATGTACACATGTATACATGTACACATGTACACATGTACATGTACATACATGTACACATGTACATGTACACATGTACATGTACACACATGTACACACATGTACCTACATGTACACATGTATACATATATACATGTACACATGTACACATACATGTACACATATATACATGTACACATATATACATGTACACATGTATACATGTACACATGTACACATACATGTACACATGTACACATACATGTACACATGTACACATACATGTACACATGTACACATGTATACATATATACATGTATACATATATACATGTATACATGTACACATACATGTATACATGTACATATGTATACATGTACATATGTATACATGTATACATGTACATATGTATACATGTACACATGTATACATGTACAAACATGTACATGTATACATATATACATGCAATAAGATCACAGTAAACAGGTGATTTCAGAATATGCACACATACACATATATACATGTACACATATATACATGTACACATATATACAATGGAATCTCAAATATCGAACTTTCGTCAGTCCAGAAGGCTGTTCAAGTGCCTTTACCGAATGAATTTATTCACATCAGGAATAATGTAAATTAGATTAGTCCATTTCAGACCCTCAAAAATACACTTATAAAAGCACTTACAAAAATACACTTACATAATTGGTTGTGTTGGGAGCAGTTCGATTTTTGAGGTTCCACTGTGCGTATATACATACACATATATACATTATATATATATATGTACACACACACACACACACACAAAACATTACATTCACCCACTGAGGCAGGGTGACAAAACTTTCACCATCACTGTTTTGTCCAAGGTATTCTGATGCTACAGTTCAGATGCCCTTCCAAACTGCAAAAATCCCAACCCCTCTTTCAGAGTGCAGGCACTGTCCTCTTTCCAGGACTCAAGTCGAGCTAACCTGAATAAAAACAATTAACATTACAGGAGCTCAATGAGCAATCCCATGTAATTGTACAGTACTGTAATAGAGGAAATCAGCTCTAATATACATTATTTAAGTATGGATACTGGTCAGAGCCCCCCATCGTAAGTCCGAGTCGTCGGTAAACAAGTACGTCGCTAAGTGACGAGAGGCTGTACTTCAAAATATTTTCACTAGTATAATATTTAAACAATTAAAATATAACAGAATCAGAAACTCACCTGCAAGAATAGCTTTGTGTGCCTGAAATTCCCTGCCAGATACTGAAAGCGTCACATCAGAAAATCGCTGAGACTCGAACAACCCTCCGAGGTCATCAGACAGGCGGCAGTCCGGCACTTTGAAGTGTATAGCATTGCTCTGCCCAGAGATGTTTACGCTGTCTGCGACAACCGATACCTGCGCACATTGAATCTTCAGGGAGGATGCACAGAGGAACCCATTACTATGACTAATTTCATTTACTTTACCATACTACCAGGTTAAACAGAATTTCTGGCAGACTTTGACTTTAGTGCACCTGTCAGTACGTTCTTTATGTATACTATCTGGCATTGTTACAGTAGAGCAACAACTTACAAAAAGTTACTGAAGAAATACTGACAGTTTATCACAGATGCAAATTCATGAATAGAGTACAATTAAATTTTCATTATGTATCCTTTTACTTAAATAAATATGAAAAATTGAAATATTTAGTAGTGTCCAATTTTGTGCATTATATGCCAACTTTGCCACAAACATAAGCAGTCCTTTTGCAAATAATTTATGGGTGTCAAAATCCCATTAATGTCAAACTATCCCAGAAAATTGCTGAATATCAACTCTCACAGCCAAGTGAGGTGGGTGATCTGTATCACATTACAAGTTGCTTACAGCCCAGTTTTAAAAGGGAGTATAGTCACAGTAAACTTTGACTGCTGAAAAGTAAAGGGTTTTCAACCCTTAACAGTATCTTATCTCTAAGATAAAGGCAAGCAAAATATGCAGGATAATGTATACTGTATATGGAGAGAGAATGGGACAAGATACAAATCTGAACCCCTCAAGGGAGGTTCCTTGATGCTGGTGAGGGGCTCTTGATCTAAGGAATTGGATCTGTGCTCCAGTTCCCTGAATTGAGCCTGAATGCCTTCCATCCCCCCCCCCACACACACAGGTGCTGTATAATTCTACAGGTTTAGCACTCCCCCACGATTATAATACAAATCTGCACACAATTTAGTAAAGGTACAATAGTTTCCATCAGGATAAGGTTACAAGCTGTATAGAGGGTCAATATTTCCTTTAAAAACTACTCTCACACTCTTCAAGATATAGATCAACTACCTCCTGAAAACTAGTCTCGGCTAAGTGTTACTATGCCTAATTTGTAGCGGTGATTAATGAAATACTGCACTATACCCTGAACAAAAGTTGTTGCTCTACTGTAGTATAAATATAGCTTTGGTAGAAAAAAAAAGTTTTAAAGAGCATCAGTTTATAGGAAAGACCCCACAGAATTGATAATGTATACTTCCACATATGGAATGTATGGAAAATACCGGGGAAGCTTCCTTAAGCAACATAAATAAAGTTCACCACATCATGAAGGACCAGCTTACCTCACAATAAAGTGTTAATTTATCATCCGGTAGTAACCCATTAGCTTCATCCAACAGGAAGTCTCTTCTTATAAATTTCTTAAAGCCCCAGTCCTTGCCTTGCACAAACCTGTATGCTCTTTGGCTCTCTGTTAGGGAAAAATATAACTATTAAACATTTTATAAAAAAAAATTACTGCAAATATTCCAGCGCTTTCTTTATACACAGATTTCTTCGTTGGTCCATACGTAGATGGATAATTTTCACTGCTGTGGTTCCACTTTTAAATACTAAAATCATGAAAGTGTGCAACAAATGACCCATCATCTAAGCGAGTTTATTATCCCTTTACTGGCACCTTGGCTGAAAGATCCTAAAACTACAAAAATGTTTAGTAAGTGTCTTCAAGACCAAGTATCTTAATTTGTTGCAACTTGTATGGACCTTTACACAATACATTATAGAATAGCAAAAATCATAATGACATTTCTCAACCCCCCCCCCACCCCACCCCACAAGAAAATCTGGGACACTAACCCATAGCTTTAGTTTCTTCTCTTTTTGCATTAAGGATGGAGAACTTGAATTTGGCTCGAACTTCTGACTTGTTGGAGGACACCAAGAGAAGGTAGAGGGAAAGATAATCCTTACTTTCTTCATCCAGACCCTTTGGATTCACACGTAAACACCTGAAATTAATAATAGTTGTACTTCCAGGGCATGTCTTCTTGTTTGGTATAGCCTTGCAGCTTTTGGTAGAGTTACATTTTGAGTTAAGTGTTGAGCCGAGGGTTAGGAATTAGATTGTGTCCGAGAGTAGTTAAACTCTCAAAGCTCTTCAAAGGTTGGTAATAAATGCATTTATTTCTCTTGCAAGTGCTCTTTCATGTTCTGCAGATGATGCAATCCATGCCAGCCACCAACCACCAATTACTGATGGGGGAAAAAAAATGTAAATTCCAAAAGATCTAATAATGCTGTGCCATTCACCATCTTAAATATGGCAACTGACAAATACCAAAAGCTGTTTTTCTTCATGGGAGGTTCCATGAAGCCAGCGAGGTGCTCACAATCAAAGGAATTGAACCTGATTTCCTTCCAAAATTCCCAGAAGCTTTACACATGTTCTCTTTGGAAGATGCAAAACAATCACATTAGACGTTTTCAAAATACAATAAGAGCAAGACTTTGCAATAAGCAGCAGGATAAACAAGAGGTCTCAATCTTAAATTACAAAAGCAATGGAGGAAAGTTAGTTCAGCACTATGAGAGACCATGAGTACAACTGGTTCTGTACCTGTAATTATGCACACACATGCAAATGAGCCACTTTTTTTTGTATCAGGGTAGCAAATAAAATGAACACAAGAGGGCTTTTTTTTTTTTTTTTTTTTAGAAGGTATGATAGGTTCCTGGATGTCAAAAATCAGTTAAGCTTCCTGCTTGTACAGTAATTAGTTGGACCAAGAGTTGTGAGTACCCCTGCAAACTAAGTACTGTAAACTCAAAACATCAATGTCCCCAAAACACAAGACTGCCATGTGCAAAAAGTAATATAAACTAGGTTTTTGAGGAATAGCGAATCTTGCCCTTCATGCAGCGCAATAACCTCAACCCCACACGTCATGTCTCATCCTAGTGCTCTCTTCAATCTTGTCTACTTCAAGTGCACTCTGGCTGCTCCTGTTTATCAAACCCTTGAAGCAAAAAAAGGGCTCATCAGCTCACATGAATGACTACTTTTAGCTGCCAGTAGAGGGGAGCCTGTGAAGGAGATATGGACCCTTCCAATGAAAATCTGCAGTCCTTAGTGTTAATATACTGTATGTACTGTACATACAATGTTCATATACAAAGATACATACCACATAGGTGCACTCACAAACATGCACAACATATACACATGGGGCCAAGAGCTATGACTTGACCCCTGCAACCACATTTTGACAAGTACATACACACAGTGGACCGAGGGAAGGGAGTTGCTCAAATTGTGATCCCGGTATTAACATGTCCAGAGCTTTACTACTAAACTACAGAGCTAATAGGAAAGCTTCACAGAAGGCACTAATGTGTCCTTTGTGTCAGAGCCAACTGTGACCCATCTGTCCTTCCCCACAGTCCCAGCAGCTTCCACAGTATATCTATCCTCACCTCCCTCAAAGCCACATTCTATAAACTAAGGTCAAAATGAATGACAAAATGAATAAACAAAAATGAACAAGGGGCTCAAACCGTGGTCCCGAGATTAACAGGGCCAGCTCAAATTATTATATACATAAATGATTATGTACATGAAATGGTTGTGCATATGTACTTATTACTGTATTCATTGTGTGTATATCTTTTAAACTTAGTTAAAAGCTTAAGTTTCATCATCCTGCCGTAACTTATTTCAAAGCTCAGCCTTATTCAAGATATAACTATCCCATGCCACTCAGTCTACTAGCACCCAAGAAGCTTGCTTACTGCCCACCAAGCCTGTGAATCAAAACCAGGTTCCTTTGTGTAAATGCACTTATGACAAACAAAACTATAATTTGTTCAATATGAAAGGTACTCACCATTTAAGTTTGTCATTGGCACCAGCAGAGAAAGTAGAGGACTTTAGAACTTCTCCCATTTCTTCCCTACAGAAGCTGAAGTTATTGATGGTCCACATATAACTGAACTTTATCACTTTAACCTGTGTGAGAACATTTTTTTTTTTTAATATTTCTGGCATCAAAAAATAATCTTTGCCTATATTTCTTTTCTAGTTATTAACCATTTATATTGTCGTCTGTTCTGAAGAGCAACACAGCTGCACCCATTTTAATTATAAACCTTTTGTTGTTCCCAATTCAACTTAATTTAAAAAAAAAAATCGGCCCATTAGGAACATTTTAAAGTACAGTATAGACAAAAAGGTTAATTTTCAAATTGTGGGTTTGGTATGAATTGCTGCAACCAGAGTACTGCAACATTTTTCACTATTACCACTATACACAATCCCCCGCACCCAATTACACACATAATACACAGTGATGATGCCCTTTCTTTGATAATGACCATTATGTTACACCAAAACTGCTACCTTAGCCTTTGTTCCCCCCTCCCCCTCTGCTGCTCCGCTACCTCTGCCACCCCTCCTGCTGCTCCGCTACTCTAGCCTTCCTCCCCCCCTCTTTGCTAAACTCACCTTTCTCATGTTGCTACCTTTGCCAACCCTCCCTCTCCCCTACCCCTCTTCTCTCCTCGCCCATCATCCCTGGAGAGAGGGTGTGTTGGTGTGCACAGGAGATGGTCGTTACAGAGCAGCTAAGATGAAGAGGAAGTGAAGGCTGTAGAGATTCTAAACTTGCTCCCATGGCAACCAATCTTTTTCCATTAATTATATTTATGCGCACACAAGTACAAAACACGTATGGATTATTAAGGAGAAAAAGTAAGAGTAGAGGGGAAAAGAGGATGGCAAGTTGGGGAGGAAGCAACAGCAGAGGGGAAAAAGTAATGGGAGTGAGGGGGGAAGTAATGGGAGTGAGGGGGGAAGTAATGGGAGTGAGGGGGGAAGTAATGGGAGTGAGGGGGAAGTAATGGGAGTGAGGGGGGGAAAGTATTGGGAGGGAAGGGGAAAGTAATGGGAGAGAAGGGGAAATAATAGGCTGAATAACTAGAACCTTCAAAAGAAGGGACACCAAGCCAATAATGACAGTACTCTTCCAGTCACAGGATTGGGGGCTTACGTTGAACTTTGTGCGGCTAGCACGAACAGCCTGGTTGGTTATCAGACCTGGAACCGAACCACTGGGGCACTGGTTGTCTAAACACTCGCCAGATATTCACAACGGGAGGGGGGGAGGGAAAGATCAGAGGGGAAATAACAGATGGGAGCGGAGGGGACAGAGCAGATGGATATCGAGGGGAAAATATGCATGGCAGCAGAGTAGAAAAAAAAACGGGAGCGAAAGTGGTAGAGGGACTATGCCCTCTAGCACTTTCTAGGTATGGTATAAACCTTGGTAATAAATACCGACAAGTTGGTTTAGAAAGACACGTAAGCAAACACTAACATATTTATTAGAAAACGTTTCGGTCCTGGGACCTTGATCACTTCTAATATAAAGAGGTAGAAAGACATTATATATATAGGCGGAGAGTGAGATGTGACGCACGTGACCTGAGGAATGTCATAAGAACATAAGAATGGAGGAACACTGTAGAAGGCCTACTGGCCCATGCGAGGCAGGTCCTTATCAAAACAACCTCTACCTATGATGAGGACAGGTAGACGATGAAATCATGTGACTCCTGTGTTGTTGGGTTGGTGCTGCTTAAGGTTGTTTTGATAAGGACCTGCCTCGCATGGGCCAGTAGGCCTTCTACAGTGTTCCTCCATTCTTATGTTCTTATGACATTCCTCAGGTCACGTGCGTCACATCTCACTCTCCGCCTATATATATATATGTCTTTCTACCTCTTTATATTAGAAGTGATCAAGGTCCCAGGACCGAAACGTTTTCTAATAAATATGTTATAGTGTTTGCTTACGTGTCTTTCTAAACCAACTTTCTAGGTATACATCTCTTATCCGGTCCAGCATGTACGCATTTAGGACTTCAAGGCATTCCCAGTATTTTTAATGCTTTACTGGTACAGCAGAATGCTATATGTCAGACCTTTCTCATGTTCCTTTCGTCATATTTGATGATCCTCTTTTGCTTTGTATACTGTATCCTTTTTGAGTTCATTCTTTTCATATCTAAGCAGCTGGAACTTACCACCAATGAATGTCATTTCTCCACTGCCCGCTGGAAAGCACCAATTATATTAGCAATTTTTCCGCAAATGATACCAAACTGTGGCACCAGAACAGTACCTTGGGATAGCGAGCTTTTTAGCTTTTTAGTCGAGGAAATTGGGAAATGAAGACAGGGGAAGAAGGAAGTAGTAGAGGGATGAAACAGACAGGGGGCGGGGGGGTGACTAAATTTAGTGACAAGTCTTTTCACTTTAATAGTTAAAATTATGAAAAAATTTTAAGTTTAAAGAAAAAAGTAAATTTATGAAGGTCAAAAAAGGCAACTCACCTGAGTGTAGCACCAGTTTTCAGCCACTGGCATGTTATTCTCTGGGGGTAGAGGGGAGGGAACCCTGGACACCGACATGCTGACTCCTCCTGAGGACACGTGACCTGCACCTCCACCTCCGTGTACAGAGTGCGCGTGACCAACTGAAAGACAAGGCCACGCCTTAGTGTCAACATCCAAAATGCATCTGAACAGCCATTCAAACACGCATCTCGCCAATAATTTATTGTGATTGAAAGTGAGGGGGGGGGGGGTTAAATCCATTTACAATACACTTTTTATATCCGTGTTTTAACTTAAATTTGTTAAGCATCTGTTGATATCTCTATTACACATTAAGCATGTTGGAGAAGATCCCAAATAATGCGTCCACCAACAACGTTGCATCAGTTACGCATTTGGTTTATTCCAGGTTTTCCCCCAAACAGCCTTACTGATCAGTGATGGGTCTCAATTTTCAGATCTGATAGTTAAAAGAAATACACCACTAACCTTCTAAGAATCTTTCCTGCTCAACAAGCAGGAGGCATGTTTAAACAACTATCACCAACAAGAACTAACATTTTAACTCCAATGTCTGGGATATATCTATCTTTAACACATTAAAACAAACACACCCTGATCCCCTTTTTAGGTATGGTTAACAACAAATTTCAGGTAACTGTTTCATTCACTGAATTGTGCTCTTTTTTTTTATCGGACCTAAAATAGATGTTTTCATATGATTTGAGAAAATACTGTATTTCAGTTGGCTACTAGCGCCAACAGCTTAGTCGATCAGGCTATCCACAGGGAGGCGCTGACCTGCGAACACGCCACGTAGCAGGTGACGAGTGACTGATCAGTGATTAGTACTTAAACTTTTCAAGTTCCCACTTGATTCAAGGAATTTAATCTATCCTCTCTTTCCTTGGAACGAATTTGACTGCCTCCTCTTGTTCCCCCCCATGGGGGGAACCCCTACAAGTGTCGCACTCCTCCCATGATTAAAATACTGAATTATCAAATCAAGCACTAAACCCACAAGGGCCATACAATACTGGAGAACTAACGAAAAGTACATGTAAAGCACTACGTACCTAGAGCTGGGTGGTGGGCAGGAGGGGTGTGTGCTTGATGGGGCACAGGTGGATGCTGCTGTACGTGAGGCGCTCCCCCGACGTGTGCTGCTCCTGCAGCTGCTGCAGCTAAGGGCGGCGGCCCTTGGTGGGGCTGTGGTGCGCCTGCTGCTGCCGCTACTACTGCTACTGCCGCTGCTGCTTGCTGGTGCTGCTGCTGCTGCTGCTGCTGCTGCTGCTGCTGCTGCTGCGGAAGATGAGGCTGATGATTTGCAGCGTTAGGTGCTGGCTGGGGTTGCTGTTGTTGGTGTTGTGCCTGCCCGTTGTTAGCAACAGCTGGGAGCGCTGCTGCTGCAATGGCTGGCTGAGGCTGTGCTTGTGGTTGATGAGGTTGTTGCTGTTGCTGCTGGTGGGGTTGCTGGGGCGGCTGTGGCGGAGGTTGCTGTGGCGGGGGCGGGGGCGGGGGGTTGTTATTGGAGTGGGGCTGAGGCGGCAGAGCCCCAGACACACCGCCGGAGCTCCCGCCTCGCGACTCCACGGTGGCGGCTGACGCTGCCCAGCACAGCCCCGACCCCGACCCACCTCCCCACACTCTACACACCTGAAATAGTCACAAACTTAGTACACCATAAGACGAACTTTCATGCACAGTAAACATGAAAAACTGTTCAATAACAAACTGTCAAATGACAGTAAAAAAAACGTTAGCACTAAAAAACTGTTTATAACAATAAAAACCCACTTACAGCTCTGAAAAAAAGTGGCGGGGGAGAAAAAAACATTGTCACGGTTTTGAATTCTGCAGTATACAGAAATATAGAATACCATTAATATTCATGAGCAATATAAGTAACTACAGTTCGTACCACTAAAAAAAATACCCAGGATTTGCTGCAATGAAATAAGGATAAGTGCAAATCATCTTTAATTGCAAATTATCCTTAGTATCCTCATCACTGCATTAAGCGCGTCCTCGTTCCCAAATAGGCAGGAAGGAAGCTATTTGATTTACTGTGCTCTTCGGCCTACAAGGTCATTTGGCGCTTTTGACACCTAAATTCAGTACCGCCACAAACAAATATTGTAAAAGTTTAAACTAAAGCACAAAGCTTAAAACAATTCAAAATAAAACGCAGTTTGGTAATAGAGTTGTGGATGAGTGGAACAAACTCCTGAGTACCGTCATAGAAGCTAAGACCTTGTGTAGTTTTAAAAATAGGTTGGATAAATACACGAATGGATGTGGGTGGGTGTGAGTTGGACCTGACTAGCTTGTGTTACCAAGTCTGGTGCCATGCTCCTTAAGTGGAAGTGACCTGACTGGGTGGTCATTGTTCAAGGCCGGGGGGTGGCATGAACCTGCTTTGAATGGGTCAGTAGGCCTGTTGCAGTGTTCCTTCTTTCTTATGTTCTTACAACACCAAGCTAAAATATATGTTGCTAACAGCTGTGATGAATGGTTTGAAAAACCGACAAGTTGAAGATTGAGACACTTATGCAGCATTTGGGAATCTTTATTCAGGAAACGTTTCGCCACACAGTGGCTTCATCAGTCCAATACAAAGAGGAAGGCGTAAGGAGAGGAGGAGAATGAGGTAATCAGTCCCTCAACCTGGAGTCGATGTGTTCAGTCCATCAATCTTGTAGAATGTACAGCATAGGGCCGTAGACGTGGCTTATATACTGTAGTGAGGTGACGTGAAGCAGATGGAGGCGGGGTCATAGTGGTACCATCCACTAGTCGAAGTAGGTACCACTATGACCCCGCCTCCATCTGCTTCACGTCACCTCACTACAGTATATAAGCCACGTCTACGGCCCTATTTTGTACATTCTACAAGATTGATGGACTGAACACATCGACTCCAGGTTGAGGGACTGATTACCTCATTCTCCTCCTCTCCTTACGCCTTCCTCTTTGTATTGGACTGATGAAGCCACTGTGTGGCGAAACGTTTCCTGAATAAAGATTCCCATATGCTGCATAAGTGTCTCAATCTTCATATGTTGCTAAGGTATGTAATATTACATTTACAATATTTTAGTATCTACTATGAAAAACAGCAAACTGTGAAAATAAATGGTATAAAATACCGACACAATGGAAACAAATATATGCAGTTTAATGTGGTCCTTTATTGACAACGTTTCGCCCACGCAGTGGTTACCTGGAGGTTAATAAATTAGACATGTGCAAGATTGAGACACTTATGCAGCATATGGGAATCTTTATTCAGGAAACGTTTCGCCACACAGTGGCTTCATCAGTCCAATACAAAGAGGAAGGCGTAAGGAGAGGAGGAGTATGAGGTAATCAGTCCCTCAACCTGGAGTCGATGTGTTCAGTCCATCAATCTTGTAGAATGTGAACATTAAAATGGTATAAAATACCGACAGATTGTTAGGTAAGACACATATGCAACAGTTAGGTATCTTTATTTCGAAACGTTTCGCCTACACAGTAGGCTTCTTCAGTCGAGTACAGAAAAGTTGATAGAAGCAGAAGATACTTGAAGACGATGTAATCAGTCCATCACCCTTAAAGTTTTGAGGTGGTCAGTCCCTCAGTCTGGAGAAGAGCATTGTTCCGTTGTCTGAAACAACAATGCTCTTGTCAGACACTGCAACATCATGGAATCTTAATTCTGAGGACATGTACATAACCTTCACGACTACGACAACTACTTCTACAACTAACCCATCTCTTTGGGAAGGACCTACTTCCACTGGGGAATCCCGCCTACCAGTGAATATGCCCTCGTCTGCTACACCTGACGTTACTATATAAGCGCCAGGATTCTTTCTTCTGCTTCAGAATCTCCACGACTATGGTGCTGTTCGCACCTACTCCTAGTTTGAGGGACTGATTACCTCATCTTCTGTACATAGTTCTACTGTCTTCAAGTTATGTCCTAGAATTTGTATTGATAAAGCCACTGGATGGCGAAACGTCTACAATAAAGATACCCAGATATTGCACATGTGTCTTACTCTCATCTTGTCGGTATTATATACCATTTCGTACACAACAATGCTCTTCTCCAGACTGAGGGACTGACCACCTCAAAACTTTAAGGGTGATGGACTGATTACATCGTCTTCAAGTATCTTCTGCTTCTATCAACTTTTCTGTACTCGACTGAAGAAGCCTACTGTGTAGGCGAAACGTTTCGAAATAAAGATACCTAACTGTTGCATATGTGTCTTACCTTGTAGAATGTACAGCATAGGGCCGTAGACGTGGCTTATATACTGTAGTGAGGTGAGGTGAAGCAGGCGGAGGCGGGGTCATAGTGGTACCATCCACTAGTTGAAGTAGGTCTTCGTCCAAAGGTTGAACAAGTGTTGAAGAGTTCTTTGTAACAAGATCTAGTGGATGGTACCACTATGACCCCGCCTCCGCCTGCTTCACCTCACCTCACTACAGTATATAAGCCACGTCTACAGCCCTATGCTGTACATTCTACAAGATTGATGGACTGAACACCGACTCCAGGTTGAGGGACTGATTACCTCATACTCCTCCTCTCCTTACGCCTTCCTCTTTGTATTGGACTGATGAAGCCACTGTGTGGCGAAACGTTTCCTGAATAAAGATTCCCATATGCTGCATAAGTGTCTCAATCTTCAACTTGTCGGTTTTTCAAACCATTCATCACAGACACATGTGCAACTCTTGGGTATCTTTATTGAGGAAACGTTTCGCCACACAGTGGCTTCATCAGTCCATACGTAGGAGAAACTTGAACAGGAGGAGAATGAGGTAATCAGTCCCTCAACCTTGAGTCGATGTGTTCAGTCGATTCAAGATTGATGGACTGAACACATCGACTCAAGGTTGAGGGACTGATTACCTCGTTCTCCTCCTGTTCAAGTTTCTCCTACGTATGGACTTATGAAGCCACTGTGTGGCGAAACGTTTCCTCAATAAAGATACCCAAGAGTTGCACATGTGTCTAATTTATCAACATGTCGGTTCTCTGAACCATTCATCTACAAACCTGGAGGTTATTCCGGGGATCAACGCCCCCGCGGCCCGGTCCATGACCAGGCCTCCCGATGGATCAGGGCCTGATCAACTAGACTATTACTGCTGGCCGCACGCAGTCCAACGTACGAGCCACAGCCTGGCTAATCCGGCACTGACTTTAGGTATCTGTCCAGCTCTCTCTTGAAGGCAGCCAAGGGCTTATTGGCAATTTCCCTAATGCTTGATGGGAGGCTGTTGAACAGTTTTGGGCCCCGGACACTTATGGTGTTTTCTCTTAGTGTACCAATGGCGCCCCTACTTTTTATTGGGGGCATTTTGCATCGCCTGCCCAGTCTTTTACTTTCGTAGGGAGTGATTTCTGTGTGCAGATTTGGGACCATTCCTTCCAAGAATTTCCAAGTGTAGATTATAAGAACACATAAGAACGAAGGAACACTGCAGAAGGCCTACTGGCCCATGCGAGGCAGGTCCAAGTCTCCTACCGGCTTAAGCCAGGTCACATTGACTTAAGGGAGGAACACGGCAACCGACCTGGTAGCTCAAGCTATCAGGTCCAACTCGCACCCACCCACATCCACTCATGTATTTATCCAACCTATTTTTAAAGCTACACAACGTTCTGGCCTCTATAACTGTACTCGGGAGTTTGTTCCACTCATCCACAACTCTATTACCAAACCAGTACTTTCCTATATTCTTCCTGAATCTGAATTTTTCCAACTTAAAACAAATGCTGCGAGTCCTGTCTAGGCTAGATATTTTCAGCACACTATTTACATCCCCTTTATTTATTCCTGTCTTCCATTTATACACCTCAATCATAGCCCCCCTAATTCTACGTCTTTCTAGAGAGTGCAGATTCAGGGCCCTTAGTCTATCCTCATAGGGAAGGTTTCTGATACATGGGATCAACTTTGTCATCCTCCTTTGTACATTTTCCAGAGAATTTATATCCATTCTGTAATACGGTGACCAAAACTGTGCAGCATAATCTAAATGAGGCCTAACCAATGATGTATAGAGTTGAAGAACAACCTGAGGACTCCTATTATTTATGCTTCTTGATATGAAGCCAAGGATTCTATTAGCTTTATTGCGAACACACACAACCATTTAATTAACTACAGAAACTCAAGACTTATCGCCACAGAAGACAACACTCGATACCGAAGAATCCTGGAATCTGGTTTGTAGATGAATGGTTCAGAGAACCGACATGTTGATAAATTAGACACATGTGCAACTCTTGGGTATCTTTATTACGGAAACGTTTCGCCACGCAGTGGCTTCATCAGTCCATACAAAGGAGAATCTTGAAGAACAGGAGGAGAATGAGGTAATCAGTCCCTCAACCTTGAGTCGATGTGGTCAGTCCATCAATCTTGAATAGAATACGGCATACGTGCGGAGGAGCAGCTTATAAACAGTTGGCAGGAGAGGTGCAGCAGACATAGGTGGTGTCACATTTGTTCAATGTGACAAGATTGATGGACTGACCACATCGACTCAAGGTTGAGGGACTGATTACCTCATTCTCCTCCTGTTCAAGATTCTCCTTTGTATGGACTGATGAAGCCACTGCGTGGCGAAACGTTTCCGTAATAAAGATA